CCGCTGGGATTATAATTGCACTTGTTGTTTTGTGTCGGTTTCCGGCGGCTGTTGTTGCTCTCATGTTTGTTATGCAACACATGTTTTACTCTCCTCTCATTCTGTGCCAAAGGTCAGGTGAGTGGCAACCTGTGGCCAAAAGCCAAAAATGTGTCCCAAAGATTAAGTGCGACGCCACCGAAAAACCGAGTTATCGTGTAAGTGAGTTGGGTGGATTTAACGGGGCGAGAGGCTGGGGCAAAGTTAGTGGCCACTGAGGTGAGTGAGTTTTGTTTATGTTGCACTTTATACTCGGTACTGGGTCTATAAACAAAAGCACCCATCGGAGCCCATCGCAGGACCAAGACCAATCCAAAAACAAGGACCTCTGCCCACACCAAGTGCACTTGACACGAGCCAATGCCTGCTCGTGAGTGTGTTTGGTTTGTGCTGTGTATACATGCAAATTTGCTAGTCATATTTGCATACATACACATGCGGGCTTGTTTGTGTACACTGAGGGATGAAAATATGGCCAAGATGCAAGATACTGTCATTTAATGCACCTTTGGTACTTCATTTTTTCTCTTTATGGCTTTACATCTCGACACAACGTAGTGAAAATTGCATTGTATTCCAAAGTCATTGATAAAGTCATCAAATATTTAAATATAACTCTTATTCTGAATTCCATTTAAAAATAAATTAAATTGTTTTCTTTTAGTTTTAAAATTAAATGAGAATTAGAAGGCTTATAGCATTAAAAAAAGCAAGAAGAGAACGAAAATAAAGTGAAATGAAATGGCAATTAATATATAATAAAATTTCCCTTAGCAAAAACGGTCGTTGGGCCAAACTACATAAATATTTTCTAAGTTTTCTTAAATTATACAATATTCAAATAAATTTAGAAACATAAAAAAAAGTTTTACATTTGTTTTTATATTTCCAAATAAATTACTAATACGCAAATTACTAATACGCCCTGTTAGACAAAATCGTATAAGGACAAATGGCTTTAAACATATATTTAAATACATATTTTTTAGAAACTTAAAGCGTTGTTCCTGGGGTGGTAAATGCAATAATTTTCTTTCAGTGCCAACATGTGTTCAGAGCTGGCTTGTATGCATGTTTTACTTGGTGTTTATCCCAAAAATTATGCTCTTCGCATGCCTCTGGGTCGTCCGTTTTCCTGCCCCCTTTCCGATTTCCCCCGTCTCACTTTCCCAGGCCGTCGCCCATGAATTACTTTGAATGTGTTTCGTGTTGCTGCTTGAAACCAAAGCGAGCGGCTAAACATTTGCCAAGCTGTTGGCTGCCTGAAGACTCCTTCTTCCTGGTGGATCCTTTCCCTCTTCTCTTGGCCAAATATATTGTGTCGGGCCTTGTTTTTGTGGTAACATAATCCAAACTCATGAACACCCGCCACACTTTGCCAATTTTCAGCGAGTGTGGTTTCTGTAAACTTTTGATAAAGTTTTAATTAATTAAGCACACGTTCAAGGGCTAATGGCTCAGTTCTTGTTAATTACAAAAACGCTGAGCTGTTATTAGCAATGATAATGATCAATGGATAGATGAATTTTGTTAAATGGATAATTAATTAACTAGATGTGGAAGGATAAAAAACGTCAAATGAAGAAACATTGATTTCAAGTATTGGAAAATAGACAACAATATTTAAAACACTTTAAGTCAGCATCAAGCTCTTGGTTGACTGTCTGCTGTGTCCTTTACGATTGAACTTCTTAGCCAAATAAGCTCGCTAAGCTAAAAACTCTGATTTTTATAACCTGTCGTCACATCGTAAAGGGTCTCAGCGCATGTCCATGAAGAAAAGCTGTGAGCGAAATGCATTTGAGACCCTTGTCTTGAGGGTCCCATAAAATTCATAAATTTTTAATAAGTGCCGCAGCACACACGTGACACAAACAAGCAGACGCAGACAAAGTCCCACATATACAGTGTATGGGAGAATGAAAGGGAGAAAGTAGGGGAAAGTATACAAAATGTGGTCAAGGGACCGATGAGCAGATGATGGCTTAGTCACCTTCCTTTGGGTGCCTTATAGCCCCAAGCTCAGCTGAGACCTCTAAAGAACTATACACCATAAAAAAAGAAACGGAACTTCACCTAGAGTTATTTTGTATATAATTTCATTAAAATTAAAATGGAATATTGTTCAAATACCTGTAAAATATCACAACAAATTTTTTGGTATTTTTGTTATGTTTTAACATAGAATAAAACTTAGGTAAGATCTTAAGGCTTAAAAAAAGTTAATATACCCTATTAAATCTTTTCTTATTCAACGTAAGCACACCTTACATCTACAATTTTATAGTTTAAAACATGCAGCCGGCTATTAGCCTGTTAACCAAATAAACTATATAAATACGATTAGGGTGATTTTTTTAAGTACATCGTTTTCTTCCTGTTATCACTTCTCATATTACTCGTACATTTCTATTCTTCTCGAACAAAACTATGTCAGCAGCTTTCCTTGAAAAAGTCTTAGCAGCCTGCTGCCTGTCCTCAAGTGAATTGCAGATATACAACTGCAGAACCTGTGGCTGCCACTTTTTTCTTCTTTCTAAGGGACTTGCAACCCAGGCAACCCAGGCAATCTTGCAACTCGTGCCACCATTGCGGCTTACCAATAACACCAACAATACAAACCAAACAGCAAAAGCAAAAATAAATGTCGAACAACAATTTAGGAGCCAACGATGATGATAGCGTTGGGTGGGAATTGTCGGGGGAATTTACACCTGTCGTTGGGTTGGGATTTAATTCCTTAAGCAAACAAACATGAGCACTGAACGATTTGTGAAATAAATAATATAGTAAGGTACAAATTAACTAAAATTCTCTAATTTTTTATTCAAAAATAATATGATACAGTCATTCCAATTTTGGGGATTGGAATCTTTAAAAAAAGCAGCATTTCAAAAAGTTTTTAAAAAGGTGACAAATATATTAAATTTTTCCAATTAAAAAACTTTGTCTAAAAGCTTGAAAATCAACTGAAAAGTAGATTGAGAGGAAATATTGCCTAAAATATTTCATGGGAAAAGAGGTTGCAATAATTGCAATTTGTCCCTAAAAGGAAAACCAAAAGGTAAAACTCACTAAATAACCAATTACTTATAATATGTATAATATTCCCTTCGCTCCCCTAGCAACCAATTTCATGTTAACTTGTACCTTTATGAAATTTATGTCAAATATAACTCTAATTGACTGCACAACTAAAATCCTTCTCACCTGAACCTCGCAACCTGCAACCATTTGTGCGCAATGGACCACGTTTAATTGCTCTTGGCTCCGATTTGTGGGCCACAAATAATGTGGCATTCAATGTGCTACTGCCTAGTGATAGGAAAACCGAAGCCTACCGGCAATTAACTGAAATTACACTTTTGTTTGCGTAATGATTATTAAAATAGCAAGAAAGTGGTAAAAGTGTTGCTGATTGCAATGCATATTTGATGACACATTAAATTGAAAATTCACTGAATGAAATGAAATAGCATGAACTTGGTTAATAGTTTTATTTAAAGAAAATCAACGCACATTATTAAATTTACAATTTCATGAAGATTCCGAAATATTAAAATTTATGTTATATTTTAGATAACATTTAGAATCAAGTTTTTTGATGACTAAAGGAAACTTTTGTTTTAAACACACATCACAGGCTCTTAAAATATGTACAAAAATAAATGAAAATTCTAAGGCTTTATCTTTAAAATCCCATTTTATAAGAGAACACATTTGTTTCCACAGGCCATCAAAATGCGATTACTTTTAGCCGAGATTAGTTTCCCAAAGTCGTGTCAGCAAAGCTTAAGTCAAATTTTGATTTATGGCTTTAAAATGAACTGACTTTTATGCACATGGAATTTAATTAAGCTGAACAAAGACAAGGAAATTCTAATGAAAGTTAATTTTATCTGTAATCCCCACATGTGTTTTGGCTAAGTCAACAAATTTTGATGTGGAATTTATACCTTAACTAAGCGGATTAAGCTTCTCAATCTTTTGATAAATACCAATAAGGATCAAGTGCTGACCTGCATAAGGTGTAATTTTCTGAATTTTAAAGGGTCAAACATTTCCAACTAATATTTGCATAAATGCTGCCCAGCTTTTCTTTACGCCTAATTTATTCACAGAAAGTTGTTTGTTCTTGTTTGTTTGATTTGACAAATTGAGCGCAATTTAATTTCAATTTAAATGTTAATTTCTCTTCGCCTAACAAATCAAATTTCAGGTAACTAAGTTTTCAAAAGTCTTCAACTTTTTGGTTGCAAATGAACTGGACCTTTAAAGGTCCGAAAAAGTAAACCAATAATTTATTTAATATAAAAACAAACAAATTTATGGTTGGAGCTCTTTACTCCACAAGCTGTTCAAAAAAGTTTGTAATTTAAAGGTGATTTCTTAAAATGTCAATAAAAGTTATATGCAAGTTTTTAGAGTTTCTGGAGGTAAAGTGACATTTAAAATGGAAAACATTCAAATTGACGGAATGCCATGACATTTTGATAATAATAAACTGTCTAGACATATAAAATATTTATTCATTAAACGATATTTGACTAACAATCAAATTATTTTCTTTTGTAGTTTAAAATAAATTGAAAAATGTTGCTTTAACCAAATTTTAATTATTATTCAGCATCAATTAGGAGCATACATTTTTAAAGCAGGTTGGGAAAAACTCAATTCACTGTGTTTAATTAACCACATGCTATCCAGCAATTTTAACAACATTTTCATTCTCGCCCAAAAACATTTCAATTAGTAGCGAATCAATTTTGGCCAGCAAAATGTGCAAGCTGCAATTTTAATGTTTAGAATAATTAGGCAAACAAACAAACATCTATGAAAATATTTTATGTAATAATGAAATTTGTTTTGCAGGACTGCCAACATGTAAGAGAGGAGAGCAACAACGACGGGAATTTAATTAAAATAATTAAATTTAGACCGGAAAGCGTGAAAGTTGAATCATGTTTACCTGGCTGATGATGGGCATCCTCCAGTTTGTCAGCGGGGATCTAGTCCCCGATTCATATGTGAATACCACAAATTTGTATAATACGAACGAGAGCTTATTTACCACGGAACAGAGTCATAGATGGATTAGTGGTAGTTCCACAATTCAGCCAGAGGATTCGCTTTATGGCACCGAATTACCCACTTATCAACATTGCATTGCCACCAGGAATTCCTTTGCGGATTTGTTCACTGTGGTGCTTTATGGATTCGTTTGCCTCATAGGATTATTTGGCAATACCTTGGTGATTTATGTGGTTCTGCGGTTTTCCAAGATGCAAACGGTGACGAATATATACATTCTGAATTTGGCAGTTGCGGATGAGTGCTTCCTGATTGGAATACCCTTTCTGCTATACACAATGAGAATTTGCAGCTGGCGATTCGGGGAGTTTATGTGCAAAGCCTATATGGTGAGCACTTCGATCACCTCCTTCACCTCATCGATATTCCTGCTCATCATGTCTGCGGATCGGTATATAGCTGTGTGCCATCCGATTTCCTCTCCCCGATATCGAACTTTGCATATAGCCAAGATAGTTTCCGCTATAGCTTGGACAACTTCGGCGGTCCTGATGCTGCCGGTGATTCTATATGCCAGTACTGTGGAACAGGAGGATGGCATCAATTACTCCTGCAACATTATGTGGCCGGATGCGTACAAAAAGCACTCGGGCACCACCTTTATACTCTATACATTTTTCCTGGGATTCGCCACACCATTATGTTTTATCCTCACATTTTACTATCTGGTTATTCGAAAACTGCAGTCAGTGGGTCCCAAACAGGCCACTAAATCCAAGGAGAAAAGGAGGGCTCATCGAAAGGTCACCAGACTAGTTCTCACGGTAATTTTTAAATATTTCTATACATTTTTTTTTCACTTTTAGATTATATTTTTCATGAATCCACAGGTTATAAGTGTGTATATTTTTTGTTGGCTCCCCCACTGGATCTCACAGGTGGCCTTGATCCACTCGAATCCCGCACAGAGGGACCTATCCCGACTGGAGATACTCATATTCCTGCTTTTGGGGGCTTTGGTTTACTCCAATTCAGCAGTGAATCCCATTCTTTATGCCTTCCTGAGTGAGAACTTCAGGAAGAGCTTCTTCAAGGCCTTCACCTGTATGAATAAGCAGGATATCAACGCCCAGTTGCAGATGGAGCCCAGTGTTTTTACCAAGCAGGGAAGTAGAAAGAGGGGTGGCTCCAAACGACTACTGACCACCAATCAGCAGATGCCTACTCTACTGCCATTAAATGCTGGTAACAACAATTCATCGACCACCACATCCTCGACCACGACGGCGGAGAAAACAGGAACCACGGGGACACAGAAATCCTGCAATTCCAATGGAAAAGTGACAGCTCCGCCGGAAAATTTGATTATTTGTTTGAGCGAACAGCAGGAGGCATTTTGCACCACCGCAAGAAGAGGATCTGGTGCAGTGCAGCAAACGGATTTGTAACCTAGTTTAAATAGGCATTTGTTTAAAAAAACGAAAACACCAACTAATGTATAAATTATACAAAACGACGCATTTAAATTATGTTGTAATCATTTTCTACCCAAAATAATGTAAACTTTAAAAACAAACATTATTAAGAATTTGAGACTAAGCAGTATTAATATGTGTCTATATACATAATAAGCATAAGTATATGATTTCAATAAAGATTCTTATTGGATTCTAGGCCGCACAACGATATATTAGCAATATATAAAAGTTGATAGCGTCAAATAGGAAGATTTTAGATATTTTAGTTACATAAAAATAAAGGGGTTTGAATAATAATGCAAATATTTTAAAATATTAATATAAATATTAAACTTTTTCTAAATTTAATTTAAAATTAAAATATAATAAATTTATGTATTTTACTGCCAATAACACTCCACCAATAAGCTATAATTAAGTCCTCGAACCATGAGTAAATAAATAAGAAATAAAGAAACATTGTAATAAATTTAAATTCTATTTTGTGTTTAAAAATAGTTACTTCTGCATTACAGATTTTTAAATTAGCCCATTAGGTAATTAAACTGATTTATGCAATTAAAAACGAATAAGACGGAATTGCATAAAATAAGCTGCTTAGCCAGAGTCAACTGAGGTACTCGTAAAATGGGGAATAAAAAACTTTTTACGAGGGCAGTCGACGAAGTATGAACGCAGATGAGTCAATGCCACTATTAAAGTCTGCGGCACTCGGAGGCTGAGTTTTCATTGGGAATGGAAATCAACCAATTGATAAAGTTTGTACAACAAACAGTATCTCATGGAATGAGCTGAATATTGTGTACTTAGGCTTAGTAATTTAATTAATTTATGTAAATTTGCTTGAAAAAGTCTCAATAAAGCAATGTTTGTAAAAAATACATGTTTTTGTCTATTATACGGAAATGGATTAAATGGGGTTTTAGATAATTTGAATGACGGCCAAAAGGCCGGTTCCCATAAGGGAATATAAATTAAAGTATGCAAATCCATGTTTCTTTCCTATCTCTTTGATTTGAAAAAAATAAAGAAATGAACAACGAAACGTTTTCTTTTCAGAGGGGTATTTTGCAACAAACTCCTCATAAAAACCTTAAGATATTAATACCATATCGTATAATGCCAGATTTATAACAATCAATTTGGCTGTTTTCGGATTTACTCCAAAAAAAAGTATTAAGTAGCTTAACAAATACATTTGACAAAACATTTAATATTACAATAACAGATTAAAAATTTGTATTTTATATTCTTGGAACCTTTTTTTAATGCTTTGAAATCGCTAATAAAAAAATTTTAATTAAATTAAGTTAAGTAAAAGATAAAAATGGATCAATTTGTCAAATGTTGATTTTCATTGGGGAAAAAAGGAGGTATTGAAAATATGTGAAACCTTTAATTCAATTGAAACCTTCTTGAATGGCTACAAAACTTGACAACTTCGTTAGCCACCATTCATTTGTCAGTGAACAAATCTTAGACTTTTTGTGAGCCTCAGGAGTATTTTTTCGTTGCCGCTGCTGTTGTTGATTTATTTGGATACGATTGAACTGAAGTCGAGCTAAGAGCTTTTAAGCCAGCGCACTTTGGAGAACAACCTGCCAATATATTGTATTCTGCTTGCTGCACCGGCATTAAATCAAGTTTAGGAACTTGGCTTTCTGCCACTTTCCCGGCTTGCTTTTCCCCCATTGATTTATGCGTTTCAGCGCGCCAGCATAAAGAGTTGGGTCGGAATGGTTTCTCAGTTTCTCAATTTCTCAAATATACGTGCGCCCACCTGCAGACTGCAGGCGAAAGGTGAGGAGTGAGGAGTGAAAATGTTAACTCAAATATGGGAAAGCAATTCATTGAAAGGAAAAAATAAATAAATGGCAAGAACGTTTGAGCTTTGAGCTGTTTGTTGGGGGATTTGCGTAAGCCAAGAGTTGGGGAAAAAGGAAACGACAGCTTAGCAACTTTTTCGAGTGCAAATTTGTGAGAATTTTCCGTGTTTGGTTTGTTTTTTGGTTTATTTTACTTTCCTTCTTGGCATCTGTATCATTATCACTCTTGACTTTTCAAAGCACCCCCTCATCTGGCCTTTGAATCCCCGACACTTTCGTTTATTTTTTCCACAACAAGTTGTGCAACTTAAAGGAGAAGACGTTTGATTTATGTGATGAAATGTGGTAAATTCCATTGCACTGAAACTTGGTTTATTAATTAGTTGATTAGTTTGTGAGCTTCTCCATCACATAATTGCGGTCACCTGGGGTGCAATTGAATTAGGACTGTGGAAATTGCGGTTTGCAGTTAACGCATTGATTGGTGGCGTTTCCATTAATCGATTTTACCAGGTAAAGGAATCTGCATCCCCGCAAAGATGTCAATGTCAGGGGCAGCTCGAGAGCCTTCACAAAAGTCGAAACAAGGCCGAGGTTGAAGAACCAAAGCCAGCTATCATTGTCATCAGCGTTAACAACGGAGATTTTTTGGTCAAAACGATTGGAACTCCTCTCCAGCTTGCAATCTGAAACGTGAGCTATTAAAAATCTCAGTCAGTAGCACTGAAGAAAATAAAGATACTTAAAATTATTATAGAGTTTATCTGACTAAACACTTTTAGCCAGAAGCAATGCTATAATTAATGAAATTAAAAAAGCAACAATTCAAGTTTATTTTAACTTTCCCTGACAGATCACAAACTAAAGCCTTAAAATGACAAAAAGAAATGGTCCCTTAATAGGAAATTATTAAATGGTATGCTTTATTTAGCATTCTTTTAATTTTCAGTGAATTTGTATAAAAAATATATTTCTCTCAGTGTCGTTTGGAGCACAAAGACCTATCCCCCGGGCAAAAAAAAAATCCTCGCAACATACAAAACGTGACCCAGAAAAAGAGGAATAAGAGCAGGATCTGTTGCATTTTTGGCCGGCGCACAGATTGCGTCCGAGGAAGCTTTGTCTGGCCAGCTGGCTGCTTCCGGTGGGTGAATGCTACTCCAACTGGGAATGGCAATGGCCCAGTCCGCATTGGGGTCCACTTGGGCCCCTCACCTCCGGTTCGTGTGTCTGGCACTTACCATTTCATTACTGCCGTGATTGGATTACGCCGTAAATGCATTTCGCTGTTGTCGTCGTCGAAGCTGGCCGTATACAGCCATATCCTTAGGGTCCTTGCCTGAAACTTCTCCTGGGGGCAAAATGGTCATCGCCTTAAAACGAGATCGCCTTAAAACGTAAGTGCAATTGAAGGCTCTGTGGCGAACGAATGCATGACCCGAATTGGGGACCCTATATCCTGCCTAAGGTACTTACTTAGCTAAGATTGTTATTAACCATTGACGATGCACACGTATGCCAAAATAATCGGCTTTACCCTCTAATTACTATGAATAGACTCCGTGAAGGCTTTACGCAATTTTGTGATGATTACGAAATTACCTTTTGGCATAAATCCATTCAATAGCGATTTCGAGCTGTAACTCTACTTGACATTAGCATTTAAAAGTGCACTTTAATGCCGATTAAACAACCATTTTTGGAAATTTTGAATTTTGGAGCTTAAAAAAATAGTTGGAAAAAAGCAACTCCTCGTCAAAAAACATTAAGAACAATAGTAGATCTCATCAGTGGAATGATTATAGATTCATTTATCTTAAAATATATTTAACTTATATAAACCAGTTGTATCTTTTAGGTATTCAATTCTTTTTCCCAAAATCCCTTATAGAGTTATAGTTATTACTTTGATTTGAGTCAAATTTATATATATTCTTGCAAACTATCATAAAACAAATTCAAAATTCACTCAATGCTCAAAGTTTAAATGTTTTCCCATAAGCTCCCTGCAACTTTTTGGGATATTTAAAACAAACTCGACCCAAACAAAACCACATCACCTGCGAAAAATACAAATGCAAAGGTTTTTACAACTTCTTTCAACAAAAACCTTATAACTTCTTCGTAACCTACCTTCCCCTTTTAAAAAAAAATCAATTTTCGTGGGGTTGTTTACTAGAATTATTTTTCTTGTTGCCTTTTGGCTACTTTTCTGGTATAAGCATAACAATCTTTACGCATTAAAATCAGAAAGAAGCAAAATTCAGGAATATTATTACAAAAACGGAGTAAAAAAGAAGTGATTTTGTTGTCGCTACTCAAACAATAAAATGTCATAGGAAAAAAATACGGAAGTCAACAATGAAACACATTTTTAATGCTCTTACAAAAAAGGACATAAACTTAAACTGATAAAAAAAATTTGTTACAAATGTTTTTAAAATAACCAGTTTTTTTTATTAATTACATATCTTTCATATTTCAGTTATGGTTTAAGCAGGTAAATTAAATTAATGTTTTTTATAATTTGAAGTGCCCTAATATTAGTTTTACGCTTAAATGAGGATGACAGTAAAGACATAAGAATTTATAGGACATTCTTATAAACTAAGACAATTTGTTTAAATATTCAAAACATTAATTTTAAATTATCTATGTATTTTAACTCATCAAAATAGTCATAGTATACTCTTTAAGAGTGTATAAAGGAACTTGAAGGAAATGAAATCGGAATGAATAGATTCCGGGCTTCAAACGGAAATGTATTGTGCCAGACAGAGACAGTCAGTCAAGTTATGGCTCCGCTGTCCGGCGAAATGCAAATTTCAATTTAACTTGGATGCACCAAAGACGCTGGCTAACAGCTTTCAGACTCAAGCGAATTCACGGAGCTGCGGTTGCCATTTTCCATGCAATTACAGGACGATGCCAGGACCAAAAACCAAGGCGACGGAGGCTAAGGAAAACTTGTGTAATTGATATGTGTGTTGGCGCTGGCAACTTTCTAATGGAGACTCTCGCATCTTTCCCACTTCGTCGGACAGTGCCGAAAAGTTTGCGGTGTCCGGAAAATTGGGGTCGCCATGCGCTACACGTGTCTCAAGATTGAAGAGTGAAGTTCGACACAATTTGCCCACTAGATTGTAATTGGTTTTGCGGTGGATGCCTCG